CAATCCTGTATCCCGGGCACTTTGGATGAGGCCCTGAGGTGGGGGATCACCTGGGGTCAGGGTTGAGACCAGCCTGACCAATATGGTGAAGCCCCATCTCTACTAAAAATACAAAAATTAGCCAGGCATGGTGGCAAGTGCCTGTAGTCCCAAACTACTCGGAGGCGTAGACAGGGAAATTGCTTGAATCCAGGAGGCGGAGTTGCAGTGAGCTGAGTATTGTGCGCACTGCCACTCCAGGCATGGACGACAGAGCGAGATCTTCCCATCTTCAAAATAAATTAAAATATAATTAATATATAATAAATGAGTTTACAATGGAGTGCTTTGTTTCCACTTCCTTGTTATCATGTATGTAACACAGATGGTGGACATCCTTATGTATGGAGTGCAAGCTTTCTTTTCTCATTGACCACAGAATCTGATGGCAACCTTGATCTCTTGTATCTTCCAGTTTCCAGATGTGTAAGCATAATGATAATTTCTGTGTCTTTTATAAATTGCCCTCTTCAGTCCCTGAGGCATTTTGTTATTAGCTTGGCTCTGTAGTAGAACTTAAGACATGAGGGTTTTTTAGAATAAGCCTGTGGATTCATAGCCAACAGGTGTGAGCCACTGTGCCATCCTCTTTTATTATTTTTAAATTTTTAAAAATTTATTTTAGATTTGGGGGTACATGTGCAGGTTGGTCGCATGGATATATTGCATCATGCTGAGGTTTGAGCTTCAGCTGAAACTGTCACCCAAACAGTTAATGTTGTACACAATAGATAGTTTTTCAGTCCTTACCCCACCTCCTTTTAGAATCCCCAGTGTCTATTACTTCCATAATTATGTCCACTTTTACTCATTGTTTAACTCCTGTTTATAAGTGAGAACATGTGGCATTTGGTTTTCTGTGTCTGCATTAATTCACTTAGGATAGTGACCTCCAGCTGCGTCCATGTTGCTGTAAAGGACGTAATTTCATTCTTTTTCATGGCTGCATACTATTCCATGGTATATATGTACCACATTTCTTTATCTAATCCCCCATTGATGGGCACCTTGGTTGATTCTATGTCTTTGCTATTGTGAATAGTGCTGGGAAAAACGTGTCAGTGCAGGTGTCATTTTGGTAGAATGATTTATCTTCCTTTGGGTATATACCCAGTAATGGGATTGCTGGGTTGAATAATAATTCTACTTTTAGTTCTTTGGGAAATCTCCAACCTGCTTTCCACAAGGGCTGAACTAATTTACAATCCCATCAACTGTGTATAAGCATTTCCTTTTTGCTGCAACCTTGCCAACATTTGTTATTTTTTGACCTTTTAATGATACCCATTCTGACTGGTATGAGATGGTATCTTATTGTGGTTTTGGTTTGCATTTCTCTGATGATTAGTGATGTTGAACATTTAAAAAAATATGTTATTGACCTCTTATATGTTTTCTTTTGAGCAGTGTCTTTGTGTGTCCTTCGCCTACTTTTTAATGGAGTTGTTTCTTTTTTTCTTCTTGATTTGTTTAAGCTTCTTATAGATTATGGACATGAATCCTTTGTCAGATGCATATTTTGCAAATTTCTCTCCCATTCTGTAAGTTGTCTGTTTATTCTGTTGATAATTTATATCGCTGTACAGAAGCTCCTTAGTTTAATTAGGTCCCAATTGTCAATTTTTGGTTTTATTGTGTTTGCTGTTAAAGATTTAGTCATAAATTCTTTGCCTAGGCCAATGTCCAGAAAAGTATTTCCTAGGTTTTCTTCTAGGATTTTTATAGGTCGAGATCTTACGTTTAAGTCTTTAATCATCTTGAGTTCGTTTTTGTATATGGTGAGAGGTGGGGGTCAAGTTTCATTCTTCTGCATATGGCTGGCGAGTTTTCCCAATACCGTTTATTGAATAGGATGTCCTTTCCCCATTATTTATTTTTGTTGACTTTGTCAAAGATCAGTTGGTTGTAATTATGCAGCTTTATTTCTTGGTTCTCTATTCTGTTCCATTAGTCTATATGTCTATTTTTATACCAGCACCATACTGTTTTGGTTATTGCAGCCTTGTAGTGTAGTTTGAAGTCAGGTAATGTGAGCCTCCTCCTTTGTTCCTTTTACTTAGGATTGCTTTGGCTATTTGGGCTGTTTTTTGGTTCCATATGAATTTTAGAATAGTTTTTTCTAATTCTGTGAAGAATGACATTGGTAATTTGATAAGAATTGCATTGAATCTATAGCTTGCTTTGGGCAGTATGGATATTTTGATGATATTAGTTCTTCCAATCCGTGAGCATGGAATGTTTTTCCATTTTTTTGTGTCATCTATAATTTATTTCAGCAGTGTTTGGTAGTCCTCCTTGTAGACATTTTTCACCTATTTGATTAGATGTATTCCTAGGTATTTGTGTGTGTGTGACTATTACAAATGGAACTACATTCTTTATTTGTTTCTCAATTTGAACATTATTGGGGTATAGAAATGCTACTGATTTTGGTATATTGGTTTTGTATCCTGAAACTTTACTGGTCATTTATTAAGTTTAGGAGTATTTTGGTGGAATCTTTGTGTTTTCTAGTTATAGAATTATATCATCAGTGAAGAAAGATAATTTGACATCCTCTTTTCCAATTTGGATGCCTTTTATTTCTTTCTCTTGCCTGATTGCTCTGGCTAGGACTTCCAGTACTATGTTGAATAGTATTGGTGAGAGTGGACATCCTTGTCATGTTTCAGTTCTTAGGGGGAATACTTCCAACCTTTGCCTATTCAGTGTGATATTGGCCGTGGGTTTGTCATAAATGACTCTTATTGTTTTGAGGTATGTACCTTTGATGCCTAATTTTTTGAGGGCTTTTATCATGAAGGGGTGTTGGATTTTATTGAATGCTTTTTTCTACATCTATTGAGATGATCATGTGGTTTTTGTTTTAAATTCTGTTTATGTGGTGAATCACATTTATTGATTTGCATATATTGAACCATCCTTGCATCCCTGGAATCAAGCCCATTTGAACTTGGTGGATTATCTTTTTGATGTGCTGCTGGATCCAGTTTCCTGGTATTTTGTCGAGGATTTTTGTGTCTATGTTCATTGGGGATATCATAATTTCTTTGTTGTTGTATCTTGGCCTCAGGGATCTTTTATAAGAGCCCCTAATCCCATCCATGATGGCAGATCCCTCATAATCTAATCATCTCCCAAAGGCCCTACCTCTTAAAACTATCACCTGGGGATTAAATTTCAACATATGAATTTTAGGGAGACACAAACATTCAGACCATAGCACCCTCTTACCACATTTTTAAGTGTGTAGTATATTATTGATAAGTATAAGCACAATGGTGTACAGAAGACCTCTAGAACTTTTCATCTGGTGCAACTGAAACTTTATACACACTGAACAGCTGTTCCACCCTTTCCTCTCCCCAGTTATGGACAACTAACCATTCTACTCTCTGCTTATATGAGTCTGACTATTAGATACCTCATATGAGTGGAATCATGCATTGCTTTTCCTCTGTGTCTGGCTTATTTTACTTACCATTATGTCCTCCAGATTCATGCATGTTGTTACATATGGCAGGACTTCCTTCTTTTTAAAGGATGAATGGTATTCCATTGTGTTTGCCATATTTTATTTATCCATTCATCAGTAAATGGACAGTCAGGTTACTTCTACATCTTGGTTATTGTGAAAAATGCTTTTCTTTTCTTTTTTTTTTTTTTTTTTTGAGATGGAGTCTCACTCTGTTGGCCAGGTGTGATCTTGGCTCACTGCAATCTCCACCTCCCGGGTTCAGACAATTCTCCTGCTTCAGCCTCCTGAGTAGCTGGAACTATAGGTTCATGCCACCATGCCCAGCTAATTTTTGTATTTTTAGTAGAGACAGGGTTTCACCATGTTGGGCAGGATGGTCTCAATCTCTTGACCTCAAAAAATAAGATCTTCTCCCATTCCATAGGTTGCCTTTTATTTATTTATTTATTTTTTTTGAGATGGAGTCTCGCTCTGTCGCCCAGACTGGAGTGCAGTGGCCGGATCTCAGCTCACTGTAACCTCCGCCTCCTGGGTTTATGCCATTCTCCTGCCTCAGCCTCCCAAGTAGCTGGGACCACAGGCGCTTGCCACCTCGCCCCTTTTATTTTTTATTTATTTGTTTTTTG